CGTTCCCATATTTTGGGTTGCATTCTTTCTTGAGTTCATTCCGAAAACTGTCCCTCAAATGTTTCCATTTTTTCTTTGCTAAATATCTGCAACAAACGAAAATAATGTTGTTGAAAATTGTCTTATTGTTCACAATAGACATTAAAAATTATATTAGAGTTGTTGAGTAGCACATTTGTTTCTATATAGAAATTGTTTTCAGGTACCGTAAAATGAGGTGAAAATGTGCCACTTTTTGAGGTTTTTCTATAATTCTAAAAAAATTATCAACAGTATTTCTAATTACATGGAAGGAATAAAATATGGAATACTTCCTGCTTGTATTACAGTATAAAAAATCTTTCATATTGCTTCTGATATGGCAAAAAGAATTTTTTTTCTGGCACATACACTTTTGGGGTGAGTATGTGCCACAACAGTTTTCAATGCGTATCTTATAGAATAAGCGACGTGGCACATTCTCAGCATAATATTTTAAAATAATAAATATAAAGATTGAATCAGTAACGTGCTAAATCATTTAAAAAACTTATTTTGTCAAATTTAAGTAACATACAACTGTTTTATAATAATAGTATCTAATTAAGATAATTCAGGAACTTTAAATATTTCCATCTTTGATATTTGAGACGGTTTATTAATTTTCTTTTTAATATCCTCATAACAGTATCTACCAAATGGAATCTGGTTTAAGAAATTAAAGCTGTATTATCTGCAACTTCTTTTACTTGACCTGGATATAGTTGGTTTTCGTACATAACTAGTACATTTACTTCATCTTTTTGCACGTTTGTTTCATTTGTTTGAATGGGTTCCATAATTGTATCTGATTCGTCACTTAAATAAGGCGAATAAGCGCTTTGATCACTTTCTGCATATGAAACATGTCCTGTGCTTTCATCATCACTATCTGATGGGTTACTATGCTTCCTAAATCGTCGAGAAGGATTATATGCTCACGTGTCTGCCCTGATGAAGTTGAAGGTTGTTCCAAGTCCATTGGTGTGTTACTATTATTTTGCGAATTGACAGCAGAAGCCGTGATACTTTTCCCGGGAGGAACGTTAATTTTTCTTCTTTTCTTGTTTGTTCTTGTAGAAGTTGATCTGTCTTTTTAAATTCAGGTTTTCAATAAAGGTTTCACTAAGTAGGGCTTTTACTTCAGGTAAGCCTTCAATATTATGCATGGGCAGCCTTTGTAACACTTGTCGATTTAAAGGAGCAATACCGCATTTACGAAAGCCAGCCTTGAGGTTTTTAGCACAATTTTCTTTTAAAATCCGTAGGAGTTGTTTCAAAAGACCCGGAAATTCATCTTTAGGCACTGTCATGCATCGACTATTTCGAACATTTTCTTTCCATTCGTTTAAAACCTTTCGCCATGCAAACTTAACAGTCCTAAAGAATGCTACATCTAAAGGCTGCAGGAGGTGGGTAGCATTGGGTGGCAAACAAAGAAAGGAAATGTTATATTCATGGCAAAGATCGATCACTTTAGCATTTATATGTGAACTTAAGTTATCGCCCAAAATAATTTTCTTACCTGGTTGTTTTCTTGAAATGGGGAGCATTAATGTTACAAACCGGTCTTCAAAACATTGAAAATCGAACCACCCTGATTTTGTGCGATTGTAGCGTCTTCTCATGGCCATGCTCGGTCCAACTTTCCCACATCTTTTCAGCTTTATAAACAACATAAACAGGTGCGAGTTCACCACTCGCGCTTCCACACATCATTATTGATGTATTCGATTTTGATGAATTCTTTATATTTTCAGGGTATTTTGCATCCTCTTTTAACAAGGACCTTAGACATGCCTGGATCATCCACTAAACATGTCTCGTCATAGTTCCAGATATTCGATGCAGGAACATTTTCAACTTCTCTTTCCAGGTGGTCAAAAAAGTCATTTATCACATCTTCATTAATAGAAGCTCGACTGTAGGTATAATATTTCTGGCAGCAATATTAGAAATTTGTTGTGCATGCCTTTTTACAAAACAATTTGCCCATTCAGTGCCGGGCAAGTTATTCTTAAATTCTCAACTGTTCTGCCTTGCTTATCTAAAAAACTCTTAACAAGGAACCGCAATTCTCGTTTGTTCACGGGAAATCTATAACTAGATAAAGTGAGGATGTGGGCCACGATAACTGATTCCTCATCTTCAGTCAAGACAGTCTGTCCTACAGTCTTTTTAATTTCTTTACTCAGTACGTTCCGGTGAATGTCATACTCTTAGCTGCTCCACGAACAGAAATTCTTTCGCTCTAATTTCATCTAAAATTCGTGCCAGTGTTTCTGGACGATAGTTTCGGTAATGCCTAGTTCCTAATTTTCTTACATATTGACGCGGCATTCTGAAAAAAATATATATTTTGTGGAATCTGCTAAATCTGCTCTTCATAATGTGGGGCGAGAATGTGCCACTCGATGGCAGAATCTCACCCCAGATATTTGCATTATAACCTAATTTTTTTTTGTAAATCAAAAAAACAATTAAATAACTAATTATCTTAAGAATATATTTAAGCTAAATAAATTGCTAATTGAAATTACTTACCTGAATACTTCAATTTTTTACACACTTATCGCAACACTACAAAGTTTACAGCCTAATCGATTTTCGTTAAAAAACGTAGCAAAGTTGACGTGTGCACTGGAAAGAAACGGTCGATGCGGTGCGCTTCGCAATAGTGCCACAAGATGTCGCAAGTAATATTAGTCTCACAGTAAATATCGGTATTTGAATAAATATGAATTCTAAGGTGGAAAATTTAAAGATGTGCAGAAAAATATTGTGCACATTCTCACCCATTTCACGGTATCTATCGACAGGATTATCCTATCGAGCCATCAGTGATGCATTCAAAATTGGAACCTCAACGGTTCACTACATTATTGCAGAAGTTTGCACAGCAATTTGGGACAAGTTAGCATCGATACACATGCCGGGACCTACAACTAATTTGCTTCTGCGTTCATAAATTCTTTACATGCAAAAGTGGAATTTCCCAACTGCGTGGGAGTAGAGACGGGAAGCATATTCGTGTGAAATGCCCTGCTAATTCAGGAAGTATGTATGTACTACAATTATAAAGGGTACTATTCAATCGTTCTGCAAGCACTTGCTGATGCACAATACAAATTTATTGCGATAGAAGTTGGTGCATATGGTAAACAATCTGACGGTGGAATATTTCCGAAAGTACGCTTTATCGCCACTTAAAAAATGGTACTTTTAATATGCCAGCAGACACAGAATTGCCACAAACAAACATAAATTGTCCCTTTGTGGTTGTCGGAGATGAAGCTTACCCGTTGACTCCTTTTGGCTTATGAGACCGTTCCCGAGGAGGAAATTGGACGACTTGAAACGAACATTCAATGAACGCTTGTCAAGAGCTAGAAGAGTTGTGGAAAGTTCGTTTGGAATTTTGGCGTCTAAATGGAGGTTACTCCAAAAACCAATTGAAACAACCCCTGATTTAGCTGACAAAATTGTAAAGTGTATGTGCGTGTTGCATAACATTGTTATCGACAAGGACGGAATGAACGAATTGATGCTCCACGAGATAGACCAACAATCGTCCAATTCCGGTGAAACTGAACAACTGTCTCCAACTGTAAACACACGTTCTACAAGACGTGCACTGACAACGCGGCTGCATTTGCGCAATATTTTTTAAATCATCCATTGTAGATTTCGTTTTGATGTAACTTTTCGATTAAATTTATATAAAAATACCTATATATTAGGTAAACTTTATCTGAAGTCACTTGAAACACTGTGAAATACCGGGTGCGTTTTATATATCTATATTTAACACGCTCTGTTGCTGCAAAAATCGCCAAATTTCGCAGCAAATATCCCCCGTATAAGATCAAAGGCAGTTTCACCGGTCCACGTGGAGTAAAGCACGCCTATGCGTGGACATATCCAATGAGAAAGCGTGTATTTCAG